GGCAGGACCCCCACTCTGTAGCTGGGTAACACACACCCCCATAGAGTATAACGACCCCTACTCTGTAGCTGTGTAACACGCACCCCATAGAAGAAGAAGCAGGACCGCAGCCTCTTTCCAGCCCTGGCTGTGTGTTTCTCTCTGACCCCAAGCCTTCCCGGTGCAGATTGTCAGCAGGTGTTGCTTTTGTCTTGCAGGAACAGCAGGTGGTCATGGCGGAGGGAGCCAGGGGAAAGAAGGGGAGCAGGGTAGGTGCCCCTGGTTTCTGCCTTCTTTCTTCTTGTCTCTCCTACGTGGTGTTGAGAAGGGGAAGCAGAATGTCTGAGAGCAGACGGGCTGCGTGGGCATCGGCCTCCTGAAGGTACTGGCGGCAGGCACGGGTGTTCTGTGCCAAGCACTCCCCTGATGACGTGGCCGCACAGGTCCCCCCAGCAAACCAGCCCAGCTCTAGGTGCCCAAGTGAGCCAGATTTTCAATTGCGTCACCTGCTCCCACGATGCCCTGGCTGGCCATCTGACGCTCAGCCTTGTCCTTGTGATTAGTAAGGACCCACACTCATCCTAGGGATGGGAGATGTGAGACACCCTCTCCTGGGTTGCACTGGGTCCTCGAGAACGCCAGTGACCAGGTGGGAGGTGGAGATGGGGGTCGCTCCCATACTGGCTGTAAGAGGCATTGTGTTCTCCATGGCAGTGCCAGGGAGGTATCTCCTGCCTCCTTTTTCATAACCCTTTCCCTTAGATGGGACAAGAACATGACAGAAAGAATTGCCTTTATAGCTGCAAAGAAAAAAAATGAGGTCAGAAAGAGACAGAAAGAGAGAAGTAGGCAGGAAGAATAAAAGGAAGGAAGGAAGGAAAGATGGAAGGAGGGATGGAGAGAAGGAGGAAGGAAGGGAGGGAGGAAGGAAGGAAGGAAAAGAGGGAGGGAAAGAAGGAAGGAAGGAAGTCGGAAAGGGAGAAACAGAAGAAAAGGAAGGAAAAGGGGAAAGAGAGGAAGAGAGACGAGAGAGGGAGGGGCGTGGACAGTAGCTTTGTATTTGAGTAAATCGTGCCTAAAATTTTCAGGGACTTTGCATCCAACAAAATCTCTAGTTTTAAGCAACGTCCTGGGCAGAAGAGATACTAATTTGGCCAAAGACTTTAACACCTGTGTGCCATTTGAATCAGCGTTAAAATGCGGATTCTTAAAATACCCAACGAATGTTTTTGGAAAAAGAAAAATGCCCAAAGCAAGGTAGTCTACCCTTGCTTTGGGTATTTGTTAATTTTACAGATACAGTTCTTGGATTCTAGGCTTTCTTTGAAGAGGTAGTAATCTGTCTGTAGCTCTCACCTAGGACTGCAAAGGTCACGGAAAACAGTAGCTAAGAAAACATACGTCAGGCATGTTTATTTCAGGCTGTCATTCTTGGCCTTCTAGAGAGTTAATGTTTAATTTGTCACTTCATCAGGGAGGGGTAGTTAGGTTGGAAAAATCTTTCCATGACTGTTTTCTGCACACATTGAAGACTGGTCGATTGAAGACACTGCCCACAGGCCATGTTCCTGGAAGTCAGACAATTCTCCTGCCTCTTGTGGAGGGCGGAGAAGATTCTGTCTGGAGAAGGGGCCTCTAAAGCTCACATGTGGCATATGGAATTAAGAACCTCTTCATTGGCCGGATGTGGTGGCTCACACCTGCCATCTCAGCACTTTGGGAGGCTGAGTTGTGAGGATCACTTGAGGTCAAGAGTTCGAGACCAGCCTGGCTAACATGGCGAAACCCCGTCTTTATTAAAAATACAAAAATCAGCCAGGGGTGGTGGCGTGCTCCTGTAATCCCAGCTACTTGGGAGACACAAGGATCACTTGAACCCAGGAGGCAGAGGCTCCAGTGAGCTGAAATAATGCCACTGCACCCCAGCCTGGGTGACAGCTTGGGGTAAGACTCCATTAAAAAAAAAAATGAGCCAGGCATGGTGGTACACAGCTGTAATCCCAGCTACTTGGGAAGTTGAGGCAAGAGAATAGCTTGAACCTGGGAGGCAGAGGTTGCAGTGAGCCAAGATTGGACCACTGCACTCCAGCCTGGGTGACAGAGCAAGACTCAGTCTCCCAAAAACAAAACAAAAAACAATTATTGCTGGAATGACATTTAAAAAATAGGCTGGGTGTGGTGGCTCATGCATGTAATCCCAGCATTTTGGGAGACCGAGGCAGGCAGGTTGCTTTAGGCTGGGAGTTCGAGATCAGACTGGGCAACATAGCAAGACCCCAGTTCTACAAATCACAATAATTAGCCAGGCATGGTGGTGCACACCTGTAGTCCCAGCTACCCGGAAGGTTGAAGTGGGAGGATCTCATGAGCCTAGGAGTTTGAGGTTGCGGTGAGCTATGATTGCACAACTGCACTCCAGCCTGTGCGACAGAGCAGGAACCCATCTCAAAATAATAACAATAATAATAATAAAATAGATAGAGGTGGATTTAAAATGTTTGCATGTAAACCCAAAGTCATTTTCGGGGGGTAAAAAAGGAGCATTCTAACGGCACAAAACGTTATCACAATGCAGCAAGCATCGCAGGTCTTTTCTTCATCTCCTGCCCCTACCTGGCTCTCCTCCTGCTTCGATGCCCACCTCTCTCTCTCTTTCTTTCTTTTTTTTTTTTTTTTTTTTTCTTGATGGTGAATTGCCATGTCACCCAGGCTGGAGTGCAGTGGTTCGATCTCGGCTCACTGCAACCTCCAGCTCCCAGCTCCTGGGTTCAGCGATTCTCCTGCCTCAGCCTCCCGAGTAGCTGGGACTACAGGTGCCTGCCACCACGCCTGGCTAATTTTTGTATTTTTAGTAGAGACAGGGTTTCTCCATGTTGGCCAGGCTGGTCTCCAACTCCTGACCTCAGGTGATCCTCCCGCCTTGGCCCCTCAAAGTGCTGGGATGACAGGTGTGAGCCACCGTGCCCGGCCCCAGCTCTCCCTTTCCATATGTCTTCGTCTTTCTTTGTCTCTGCCTTGGTTCTGGCGAGCTTCTGCCCGCACCTCACTAGCCTCTTTTCATGTCTGTTTTCTCTCCGCTGCACTCGGCCCAGGTGTGTCCACCATGAGTGGCGACCGGCGACTGTGCACTGCTTTGAGTCTCCGTGTGCCATTCCCAGCATGCTCCCTTTGCAGATCAGTCAGCTCAGACATCTCACGTGTTTTGAGGTTCTTGGTGCTCTTGGACTGACTGACTGTGCCAGCAAGCACCTGCTGGGATCTCCTCTGCACCTTACGTGTCTCAATCCCAATGCCATGTGCTTCCTCCTGCAGCCGATGCCCCAGGCGTGATCCCCGGGATCGTGGGGGCCATCGTGGTCGCCGTGGCCGGAGCCATCTCCAGCTTCATTGCTTACCAGAAAAAGAAGCTGTGCTTCAAAGAAAACGGTAAGGCTCGCTCAGCTGGCGCCTCTCCTTCATACCTTGCCGATTTGAAATTGTGCTTTCTTTAAAAGGCAGAAGCAAAACTCGGGCTGGCCAGAAACAGGTGCACAATGGCTGATCGTGTGTGAAACCGTGGAAACTCTGGAATCGCACCTTCTGGCTTCGATTCCAGGGCTGTTCTGCCTTGTGTTGTGTTGTGTGAAAATCTGCGAGTTCCTGACTGCCGCAGCGCTTGGGTTTTACATGTGGAAAGTGGGAAACGGTTGGTATACACGCCGCAGAATTGTTGTGAGGGTTAGAGACGACCCTGCAGGAAAGCCTCAACCGGTTGCCCTGCAAAGAGGAAGGCGGAAGACATTTAGCTCCTGTGGTTCCTGCCATGTTATTTACAATTGATGTCATCGTTACGAGGAGAACCGTGCCCACGGGGCCGCCATGGTCCTCTCCCCGCCCAGGAGAATTGAGTTCAAACCCAGCACGGCGGATTCCCTTTCTGTTAGTACTGAAAACCCACAGGTACCTGGGACCTGGGAAGTTGGAGGTCCATTCACGATTGCAATCCTCCTAGGTCAATCGGCAGGCTCCTTGGGACTTTGTATTCGAAAGTCCCTAAATCATTTAGGGTCCGCTGTGAAGTCAGTAAGCGCCGGTTTTTTGAACATAGCTAGCGTGCATGCATCACTGGGCTTTTGGATTTAGGGCGTGCCTTCTCTCTTGCATGACTAAGCAGTGTGGTTTGCAGGGATCCCCTGGACCAGGGATGGCTACTCTTAGTTTTTATTTTTATTTTTTTTTTGACGCAGAGTTTCGCTCTGTTGCCCAGGCTGGAGTGAAGGGGTGCAGTCTCGACTCACTGCAACCTCCACCCGCTGGGTTCAAGTGATTCTCCTGCCTCAGCCTCCCAAGTAGCTGAGATTATAGTTGCCTGCCACCACGCCCAGCTAATTTTTTTGTATTTTGAGTAGAGACAGGGGTCTCACCATGTTGGGCAGGCTGGTCTCAAACTCCTGACCTCAAGTGATCCCCCCGGCTCAGGCTCCCAAAGTGCTGGGATTACAGGTGTGAGCCAGCGCGCCCGGCCCACAGCTACTCTTCTATGGAGGAGCCTCTGGGGTCCCTCAAGCCTCTGGGTGTCTGAACTTCTTAGCCTATTTGGATCTTAAGTCCTTATTCATTCTTGGTCACTGATGCCATCTGCCCGAAGCACTGCTTCTTGAAGATTTTAGTGCGATTCCTCAAAGATTTGAATAGTTGCTGGTGTAGACAAAGTTAGAATGTAGGGGTGGAGTTTCCCCTTAATCTCCCATCATACCCATCATTGACATCCACAAACATTATTTATATAGTGAAACCGACAGTCCTGAACAGCATTAGGATCTCAAGACTTTAAATGAGCTGCTTGCTTGCTGTGGGGTTTTGGGCAGCGCGTGGAAGGTAGTTGCCTCCCACCTGCTGGGCGGACCTGTGGGAAATGGTGTTTTTTTGTTTGTTTGTTTTGAGACAGTCTTACTCTGCCGCCCAGGCTGGAATAGTGCCGCGATCTCGGCTCACTGCAACCTCCGCCTCCTGTGTTCTCCTGCCTCAGGCCCCTGAGTAGCTGGGATTACAGACATGCACCACCATGCCAGACTAATTTTTGTTTTATTTTAGTAGAGATGGAGTTTCGCCATCTTGGTCAGGCTGGTCTCAAACTCCTGACCTCAGGTGATCTGCCCGCCTTGGCCTCCCAAAGTGCTGGGGTTACAGGCGTGAGCCACTGCGCCTGGGTGATGTTTGGTTCATTGAATGGCAGTGTTGAATGGTGACCAAATGGACAGACGAACACATTCAGGGAGATGCCTATAAAAGACCTCCAGTTAGAAGCATGTGGGAAAAAAGCAAACAGCAAACTCTTCTCCCCTCTTGCTTCTTTTACAAATAGCGGAGAGGTTAAAACAGTAGGGATACAATGGAAGGGAGTTTGTGTTTGCTTTTCAAAGACATATGGTTTTGCTTTTTTTCTGAAACTGTGCAAGTCACAGCATGATATTCAACCAGGAGGTGATGAAGGCTTGTTTACCAGAACAGGGTGTGTAATATTCTAGATGTTTTATCTCAAACTCTCCAGCTGTTTTTTTTTTTTTTTTTTTTTTTTTTGAGACGCCCAGGCTGGAGTGCAGTGGTGCGATCTTGGCTCAGTGCAACCTCCATCTTCTGGGTTCAAGCAATTCTACTGCCACCACCTCCTGAGTAGCTGGAATTACAGGTGCACATCACCACACCTGGCTAATTTTTGTATTTTTAGTGGAAACGGGTTTCGACATGTTGGCCACACTGGTGTTGAACTCCTGACCTCAGGTGATCCACCCACCTTGGCTTCCCAAAGTGCTGGGATTATAGGCATGAGTCACCGTGCCCAGCCTCTGGCTATTTTTCAGAATCCCAGACTATTGTTGAACACTTGGCATTAAACTACAAAATCTCTGATGGATGATTCTCTGAAAATCTTTGGGTCAGCCCAAATTGGATTCACAAGTTGCAAAGGATTTTTATTACCTTGTGCGTGGGATTCATAGGAACTTTTGAGATCTTGTAATGCTATTTCATATTCACAGTCTGTATTAGGCCGTTTTCATACTGCTATAAAGAACTGCCTAAGATTGGGTAATTTATGAAGGCAAGAGGTTTACCGGACTCACAGCTCAGCATGGCTGGGGAGGCCTCAGGAAACTTACAGTCATGGCGGAAGGGAGAGGGGGTGGAAGGCACCTTCTTCACACAGCAGCAGGAAGGAGAATGAACACAGGAGGAACTGCCAAACACAAAACCATCAGATCTCCTGTGAACTCACTCGTTACCATGAGAACAGCGTGGGGGAACCTCTGCCACGATTCACTGACCTCCACCTGGTCTCTGCCTTGACACGTGGAGGTCATGAGAGATTTCAATTCAAGATGAGATTTGGGTGGGGACACAGAGCCTCACCATATCACATTCTAGGACACACAAACTTGGGAAAGCATTCAGGAGGCTTAGCAGACTTGATTTTGTGAAAAATTTAGAAATAAGAGTTGGGAAAACGAAAAACAATTTGTCTTCACCTTATCCACCCCCAACCGCCATCCCTGGGTGCCGATCTTGGGTGGAAGCATTACCTTTCTTCATTTGTTGCAGGAGCTGGGGCAGGCACAAAACATGAAAGCTCTCACTGGGTGGGAACAGTTTCCCTAGATTTTCCAAGAATGAAAGCAAATGTAATCCCAGCACTTTGGGAGGCCAAGGAAGGAGGATTGCTTGAGCGCCCAGGAGTTGGAGATCAGCCTGGGTGACATAGTGAAACCTCATCTCTACAAAAAATGTAAAAAATTAGCTGGGAGTGCTTGTGTGTGCTGGCGGTCCAAACTACTCAAGAGACCGAGACGGGAGGATTGCTTGAGCCCAGGAATTGGAGGCTGCACTGATCCATGATTGCACCACTGCACTCCAGCTTGGGCGACAGACGGAGACCCTGTCTCTAGATATAAAAATATCTATATCTATATCTATATAGATATAGATATAGATATTTTTAAGCATCCGTTCTGAAGAATTGGCTCAGGGTAGTCCGAGACTCACCTTATGCTGCTGAGACGTCAGGCTCATTTCCTTCTAATATTTTCCCTAAGTCTTTTATTCTGATGCCAAATTAACAGAAGGTCCAACTTTTCAATTCCTGGTTTGCTTTCTCCTTGTCCTGGGATGGATTTTCTCGGCCTTTTGTAAATGTACAAAACAAAAGGCCAAAAAGAAAATGAAAAAGCATAACAAGAGAAGCAAGTTTGGTGCTTCAGACTTCTGTGATTAGGCCCTTTGTTCTTACTGTACCATATCAAATCCCGTATAATGGGAGATACGCCTCACGTTATGTCAGAAAGAAAACAAGGTGCAGTTCTAGAAATACCAGGACCCTACCTCAAAAGAGGATCTCCCCAACTGCTTCCACGCCCATCTTGCTTTTTATACCTAAATTATAAAATGAGTTTAAACCGTGTCATCTCCGTGACACAGTTTCGTTAGTAGACATAGAATTGAGATGTTGGATCAGAGTATCTGGAAAACAAAAGATGTCAGACTGCTCAGCCTCTGTGGCAGCGTTGCATTATGGGTTTCATTGCTGGGATGGTGATTTTGAGATGTGGCAGCCCCGTAGGTTCAAGGGGAGCTTGGAGATGTCATAAGACGGATGTGAGTATAGCATGCCCTGGTCCTTCAAGAAACCAGGCACAGTTTTGGGGATACCCTTATTCTACAAGACAGGTCCATCTTCCCAGACTGTGTCATTGGATTGAAATTTGTGCTGTTTGTTGAATTTTCATTAAAATGATTCTCAGGCAAGCGGGTAGATATCTTGAGTCTTCTGTATCTTTCCAAGGAGGAGATGCCTTCATCGAATATTGTGTCTTGATAATAGATTTACCGAGAAGCTTTGCAGTGTTCAGTTTTGGGGCACGCAGATGAGAAACACCCACACCTTGTGGAATCACATGCCTCTCTCTGTTATAGAGTGGTGTAAAAGTAACTGCTGTTTATGACATTAAAAGTAATAGCAACATAGCAAGACCCGTATCTACAAAAAATGTAAAAAAGTTATCTGAGTGTGGTGGCTCCCTGCTAATTTTTGTACAGTTTTTTGTAGAGACAGTCTTGCTATGTTGCCATTACTGTTAATAGCAAAGACCACAGTTACTTTTGCGTAAATCTCCCTTCCTCCTTTACCAATCTGAGTTTGTGGTGCTGGGGCTTCTCCTGGTCTTTGCCCACGTGATATGGAGGGGCCTATTTAAGCTGCTTCTCCCGTGCACTCCGGCTTTGCGACTGTGCGTCTGGGTGTGTTGGCTGCACCCAGGACCTGGCTCAGGCCACTAACCGCATGGAGCGCGACTGCTTCCCACAAGGCCCAGCTTCCCACGGTTGGCACGGAGTGTTGAGGACGCTGTGCGTTGAGCATGCTGGCTGGTTCTCCTGCTCTGTTTACCAGGGTCCCCAGCTCACAGTGGGTCTCTTCAGGCTTTGGCAAGGTGGGCTATCGGCTCTCCGTGCCTCCTCCTTTCCCTTTCTTCTTCCCCGCCTTTCTTCCTCCTCCTTTCTTCTTTCCGTTTCTTCTTGCCCGCCTCTCTTCCCTCCCCCCTCCTTTCTTTCCCCACCTCCTTCTTTTCCCTCTTCCTTCCCGGCTTTTCTCTTGCTTCCTTTGCCCTCATCTCTCCCTCTCCCTTCCTTTTCATTTTTTCTGGAACTCCCCTCTTTTCCTCCCTCCCTCCCTTTCTTCCATGCATCCTTCTTTTCCTCCTTTTTTCCCTTCTTTCTCTCTTCCTTTTCTCTATCTTTTCCTTTCTTCTGTTTTCTTCTTACATACATCTTTCTCTCTTCCTTCTTTCTTTCCTTCCATCCCTCCCTGCCTTCCTTTTTCCTCCCTCCATCCTTCCCTTTTCCTCCCTCCATCCCTCCCTTCTTTCCTGCCTTCCTTTCTGTTTTTTTCTCTCTGTCCTTCCTATCTCTCTTCATGCCTCTCTCCTTTTCTTACATCGCTCTTTCCTTCGTTCCTCTCTCCCTCCTTCCCTCTTTCTTTTCTTCCTTCCTTTCCTTCCTCCTTCCTTTCCTCCTTCCCTCTCTTCCTTCATCCATCTCTTCCTTCCTTCCCATCTTTGTTAATTTGTTTTCTTTCTTTCTTTCTCCTTCCTCCTTCACTTCTTCCTCCCTTCCTTCCTCCTTCCTTCCATGACTCCCCATTTCCCTTTTTCCGACCTCCTGACCGCCTCCTTCCCTTCCTCTCTTTCTGCCTCCGTCCCTTCCTTCCTTCATCGCTCCTTCCTTCCTCCCTCCCACCCTCCCTGTTCCCTGCCTTCCTCTGCCTCTCCCTCCACTCCCTAATGTCGGTTCCCACTTCCCACTGACCCACTTTGAGCCTCTATCCCTTTATCTCCTCGCTCAGAGCAGCTCTTTCTAACACCTCCCTGCTGCTGCGGGTGGAGGGGGGACCCCAGCGCACAGCAGAAGCAGACCCAGTGCCAGTTTATGTTTTTATTATTATTTTTTGTCTCTTTGAACCTCCCATTTCAGATGAGCTGAAGACCTAGGGGTGAGCAGAGAGCGCAGCCCAGGCCTGCAGAGCGCCCTGACCGCACTTGTTTATCTGCTAAGACGCAGCCTTAAAGCAAAGCCTTCCATCGCCGCTGCCCTCGCCCCGCGGGCAGGCGACCACCATGATGGGATTCTCGCTCACGTGGCAGGTTGCCTGCCTGCAGCTCCATGGGCTTTTCCTTTCTTGATGCATAGAGGCTCACTACATCAAATCTTATTATAGTTCTGCACAGGAGCTTCAGAAAATGAAGAGAAACGCAGATGTTTTCTTTTAAACTTAAAATCGAATAGAAACAGGGCAGTGACTTCCATGTTTTATGACTTTTGTCCCCAAGTCCATCCCTGCCAAAGGAACACGCTGGGAACCGGGCTGGGCACCCTCTTCCCCACAATGTCCTACGTGAAGCTCACTCACGTCATAAGGATTGGACCTTCCAGGCTACGTGTGGGTTTTTAAATCTTCCACCTTTTCAGCCCTTGCCTTTTTAGGCTGCATTCTCGCTCTGTCTCCCATGAAGCCGATCTTAACTCTTTCTGTGATCAGCGCTGCAAACAGGTGCACATCTCGGTTCCTAGAAACACAAAATTCTTACGTTTAGGAATGAGCTAAAATTCTCAGGATCTTCACACTCTAAGGCCTGTTGGGAATTGGTGGGCGGTCAGGTCCCTATTCTCACATCTGCGCAGGGAGCCTCTGTGGGCCTCCTCCTCGGATCCTCCCGTATCCCTGAAACACGCACATTGTACCTGGATTTTCCTCCCATCTGCAAATTCCACCAACTTGTTTTTCCGTGTAATCTTTTACTTTTCTTATTTTTTTCCTTTCTTCTTTTTCTTCTATTTATTTTACTTATTTCGTTATATGTTATTCTTTTTCTTCTTACTTTTCTTCGGTTTTTTTTTTTTTTTTTTCTTTTTTTTGAGATGGAGCTTCGCTTTGTTGCCCAGGCTGGAGTGCAGTAGGATGATCTTAGCTCACTGCAGACTCCGCCTCCTGGGTTCAAGTGATTCTCCTGCCTCAGCCTCCGTTGTTGCTGGGACTATGGGCGTGTGCCATCATGCCCGGCTGATTTTTGTATTTTTAGTACAGACAGGGTTTCACCATGTTGGCCAGGCTGACCTTGAACTCCTGACCTCAGATGATCTGCCTGCCTCAGCCTCTCAAAGCGCTGGGATTACAGATGTGAGCCACCACACCTGGCCCTTTTCTTTTTCTTATTTCTTTTACTTTTCTTGTTTCTTATTTTTTTCTTTTTCTCTTATTTTTTCTTGTTTTCCTTTTTATTTTCTTTTACTTTTCTTTTTTTACTTTTATTTCTTCTCCGTTTTTCATTTTTTCTTTTCCTATTTCTTTGAGTTTTTTCTTTTTTTTATGGTTCTTTTACTTCTTTCTTATTTATTTTGCTTTTCTTATTTGCCGTCTTGTGGAAATGAGGCACAGCCTCCCTTATGGTTGAGCTGTAGTTCTAGCTATGCATGGATGGTTTGATCCTCCTGTGCTGGGGCACTGTGTGGTATGGGGGCACAGAACCCTGACCCACATGGCTGTGGTCACCTTCACACAGTGGTCACCTTTACGGCCCCCACTCTTTGAAGGATGTCTCCCAAGGTGTTTCAGCTCTTATGCAGTGAAAGCTGCCTCCCAATGACGGCAGTACTGAGTCCAGAATGTCCTGTGTTTCCCAGAGTGTCTGTCCTAAGACAGCTTAAACATTAGCCACTGCTGGACAGTGATCCTCAGGGATATGGTCTCAGGACTGGCCCCAATGCATGGTGTCTGTGTGTAAACACACATTCACAAAGCACAGGGACCCATTAAAGCCATATTCCTTTGCTTAACGGTTCTACAGAAGGTTTCTAGCCTGAAAGAAAAGCACCACAAGCTGTTTGTAGTTGACTTGTCAGATGTGGCAGGCTTGGTCTAACTTTCGATGGGAAGGGTGTGTGGGTAGAGGTGTATGGAGCATCTCCTGAGACCATTTCTCCTCCTGAGAGGTCCGTGATGTTGGAGCATTTGCCACAAATGGACTTTGCCCTTGTGAGACTTTACACTTTTCCCCTCCCTCCCTCCCTCC